ACTTTTTCCAATCAATCCAAGGACTCCAACTATAACTGGAATTATTGATGTTCTCATGTTTCACATTATTATTATGCTGTTAGAATTTGTTTCCTGATATTTACATTAGGAAGTTTCATTTCTTGTAATCTTTTTCAGAAAATCTCAATTAAGGAAAATTATAATGTTATAATAACATAAATGTTATGTTTTTTTTTTTATTATTTCATTAACTCTTGTAACATAAAAATTGGGAACATGGCAGAGTGGTTAGAACATTCACTTTCCGACCATTGTTGATCACGCCAGATAAAGCATTCTCTTCCAGAAACTCTAAGGTCTGCAGTATAAACCACAGGTGGGCTGAGTGCTGAACAAATACAAATGTGCCTGGGCATGCGTCTGCAGTAGGGATTGCTAGCAAACAGACATACTCAGATACAAGTGGCTGACCATTACATAACATCAAAACTAGAAGCAAATATTTTAATCCTGGATATTTGCTCTTGTACAAAATTGAGAAAAGTGTAGAAAGTTATTTTTAATAATATCATTAGAATTTTTGTTTTTCAACTTAAGTTTTTATTTCTATATACAGTTTTTGTAATTAAAAACTTTAGAAATATTTTAGAATATATTATATACTTATAATAGCATTGGAAAAATTAACAAAACTGGTTTTCCTCATGGCATCAATTCCCAACTAGGTAGTTTAGTATGACAAAACTATTTACTTCTGTCTTAGTAGCAATTCCGATTGGTCCAAAGGACCTCCAATCAGTGGTTAACTGGGGCAAGGAGTGGCTTGTAAATTTTAACACTTCCAAAAAAAAATACTTTCATTTAATCACCATAGAGAACCATTTCTACTATATATCTCAAGATTCTTGATAAAATCCAAAGAAACATCAGTAATGTAATCTCTCCTAACCTGGCATTTCAACTTCAGTCATTTTCTCACTGATATGACGTGTTGTCTTTTCTACAAATATTTTCATGCCAATTGTTCTGATGAATTTTCTTCCTTGGTGCCACAATTCCATGAATTTAAACATACTACTAGATTGGCAATTAGCCAATCATTGTTTTACGAGCTAGATGTAATCATATGTTCTATTCTCATAGTTTCTTTTCTCGCCTGTGGAGTTCTTTTCTGATTTCTTGCTTCCCTGCTATCTACAATCTTTAATAATTTAAATGCAATGCTAATTGCTATCTTCTGTCTTCCTGAAACATGTTCTTTTATTTTCCTTTCTCCTCATTAAAGTTTTCTCATTTTCTTTCTTTCCTAGTAACCTTCTGTGTCTTAGTGGCTTTATTGCCTTGCTTTTTTATTATTATTATTATTTATTGTAGTGATTTTAAGATACAGGGTGCGATGGGTAAATTGTCGCCATTTTATATTTTTAATTATGTACATGGGTATTATTTGTTTTTGATTTTGTCAACTGCACAGTATAGTATAGTCATCGGTGAGAAAAAATGCACCATGACACAATTCATTCTTCCAGAAATTTGAAAATGGCATGCTGTACTGCTTGGCATTTATGCCAGAAGCTCCAATACAAACATTTCAGAGTGTTTGGGAGTCAAACTGAAGACAATGCAGAGGATTCAGAAAGAGTTGGATGAGTCTAATGATGATTACAAAGGTATGGTAACTTGGAAAACTCATTCTGATCGTTCTGATAAGAAAAGAACTCCTGAATTTGTTGGTGAGGGCCTCACTCAACACAGAGGCCTACATCAAGTACCTTGAGGAGACAGTGCTGCCCTGGGTCAAGAGGGTAGCTGCTGAAAGACTCTGTCTGGAAACAGGACTCTGCACTGTACCATACAAGCAGGAGAACCCAGTCATGGCTGTCAGACAATTTCTGCAATTACATCACTCCTTACATCTGGCCACCTAACTCCCCAGACTGCACCCCTCCTTGATGATTATGTGTGGGGCACAGCTGGGCAAAAAACCAACAAAACTCCTTGTAACACCAAAGACGAACTGAAGGCAAGTACTTTGGTTGCATTCACCAACTTAAACAAGGAGACCATCCAGAAGAGTTGCAGGAGATTCTGAAGTTGTCTGGGGGCCATGGTTAAACCAATGGCAATTTTTATTAAATAAATATACTCTTTAGTAATTCCAGATATGTTTGTGTAATTTTGGTAAATATATCTGTTAAAATAAGATGTGTTATTTTCATTTTTGTGCAATTTAGACGACAATTTATCCATTGCACCCTGTGTTTCATGATTTGTAATTATAGCTATAAACCTTAAAGAAAACTAGTGATTTTACACCAGAATATAAGCATTATTGTTCTTAGCTTTTACAGATTAGTAGACTCGTACCTGATGATTTTTTTGTTTTGTTTTTTAACAATGGCTATATTCTACAGTCATTTTGTAATCATGTATTTTTTCAATATGTTCTTTTCTAAATGCATTAGCATTTAGTAAATTTGCTCTCGTGCAAACTCATAATTTTATAATCATGTTACTTTTGCAACTATATTGACTATGGTCATTTGGTGGAATTTATAATGTCAGTCAATAAGTACTTATTTAAAATAATCCTGATTTTTGATGCTGTTAACAAAGATTTTCTCCTTAAAAGATATTCATAATATTTACTTAGCAATATGTTATTTTCATTGTTACTAATCAAGACTAAAATTGTACTGTGTAATATAATCTCAAAAAATGCTGATGTATAGAAAAGAGTAAAAGTAAATTGAATTGTTTCTTACATTTATGAGAACTTTAAATTTGAGGAGAAGGTAACTGCAATATTGTTTAACATTATTGAATTGCTTTTGTTTCCTGACTGGTAAACTCTTCATGTATGTGGTTTATTGCTAATTATTTACACTATTTATATTCGGACTATTGTCCTCATCCTTGTTGTTGTTATCACAACATTTCGGCCTTCTTCAGGTGTATATTGATCTGGATAACCTACAAGGAATTCTGAACTGAACCCTTTATTTAATCTACAGGGTTACAGTTCTCATTCCACTGCCCATTTCTATGGGTATCTAGTTCTTATATATAGTACTGCACAATGGCTGAAATGTTGTAATAACAACAAAGATGAGGACAATAGTTTGAATATAAATAGTGTAAATAATGATAACTTCTCATTCCAAAATTCAGACAAAAATTTATTGCTAATGTTTGTTGCATTTTTCTGTGACTGTGTCCATGAGTTTTCTTTAAATGCTGTGTAAATTCTCTTTTTCAAAACATGATATAAACTCCTATTTGTTTATATGAACATGATAAAAAGTTGAACAATGTTAGATTAAATTTAGCTGCTACAAATTCCCCCCCCAAAAGTCTGCATATTATATACAAGATTTTTTTTCCAGAATTTTGTAGCCCTAACTTGGTCTGTGTTATATACAAGTAAATATCTGTTTCCTTTAATAGTAGAGTCAACACAATTTTCAAAGCTAATGATTTTTTTCCTTTCCTTTCCATATTCAGTTTGTCCATATCACACAGTCATCAATTTCCTTATTCTACATAAATTCCACTTACCAGAAATAAATATTTTCTTAAAACAACAAACAAAAAGGGCAAAAATTACCATAATTCCCCATGTAAATATGCGTTTTTTCCTAAAAAATAATAAGCAAAATCAGGAGTGAGTATTATGCACAGTTACAAAAAATTGCCATAAAATAAGAATTATCATAAAACTTAATTAGAATATTATTTTGTTTAAAACCATTTTTTTAAAAATAAGTGTAGGAAACGATGGCCATAATGAAAATAGAGAGTTACAATTTATAGGGTTTGATTACCAAACAAGGGGTGCATATTATTGTGCATTTTCGGCACAATTTTAGGTGTGTGCATTATGGATGAAGGCATATTATACATGAAGAATTATGGTATTTCTTATTTTTATGAGGCATTAGTTATACTATTTACATGTCGACTATTGTCTTCATTTTAGTTTTTATCTCAACATTTCAGCCATTCATCAGGTGTATTTTGATACAGGTAACCTACATAGAATTCTGAACTGAACCATTTATTTAATCTATGGGGGTGGACTGTTCTTGTTCCACTGCTCATATCTAAGAATATCTCGATGAGTTCTTATTTTTTTTTTACTACTACTTGGTTATTGCTCGCCCTGCTTCCAACACTTTAATCCACTAATCCCATGGTTTGTGAATTTGGCATTATAATAATTGAGAATTCAATCCCTGGGCTGAGCAGTATGTCCTTGGAGAAAACAGGGTGAGAAATAACTGAGCAGCAGTAAAAATAAGAACTAGATGCAATATTCCTAGACATGGACAGTGAAACGAGAAATTTACCTCCATAGAATAGTTCAAAATTCCCAGCAGGTTACCCAGATTGACATACACGGGATGAAGGCCAGAGGAGGAAACAACAGCCGAAACATGATAATAACATCAACAAAGATGAGGACAATAGTCCACGTGTAAATAGTGTAAATATTAACACCTCATCCCCAAAATTCAGACAGAAATTTTGCAGTTTGTTAAATCCATTTTTATTTTTTCTTTCCCATTAAAATCATTAAATAATGTTTTTGATCATAATATGACAGTAATATATACGAGGGAATGCTGAAAAGTTCTCTGCTCACCCACTTTTCAAAAGATTAGATTTTTTTCTCTTGACTAAGCAAGAACTTTTTACCTGTGTACTAAAATAACATAACTGTACACACCTTTTGTAAGAAAACAAGAAAGCTCTTCTCTGTATTTATATGAAAGCCTAATCTTACCCAAACAAACTCATTCATAGTAGTTAAAACCACATTACTTTATCCTGGAGCTGACCAAAGGACAAGACAAAAGAGAGCTTGTGACTTGTCCTATAGCCTTTTGAAGAATCATGATAATTCATTTGGTTCTTGATATTTGAAGGTGGGTTCAACTGTGTTGCTATTTTTCAATAACAAAAATAAAGAAATCTTATTTTATTTTCTTTATTTAATGAGTAATCTTTTGTAACCAAATACTTCATTTCTTTTTCAGATCTGCAGTTAACATATGCCAGCCAAGTTGAAAAAACATTAAGTACTATCACACCATTGACAACTTGTCCTCACAATAGTAATAGTAATGATAGCACTGCTTCAAACAATGATCGTCCACAAGCAGGATTTGTGAACAAAGAAACAGCAGATAAGTACAGTGTATGTAGAATTGACTTTTACTTTCTTTGGCATTTTTTTTTTAAATCTAACATTGTGTTTAAAAAAAATTACCAAATATAGCAGAGCCAGAAGCCAGAAATATCAAATGCATTATTTATTTATTTTTAGCTTTCATATTCTGATTATACTTAGAAATTTCTGTATCATTTAATTTACTTCCATATCACATTGAAACACTGGTTCTAGTATGATCACTAAAGTTAAGCAATGTCGAGCCTGGGTGACCACTTGGGAATACCAGGTGCTATAAGCTTGAATGTGCAGATGGTGTTGTAGATAACAACTCTGAATTGGAAATCAGAGAGTCGAGTTCTAATTCCAGTCAGGTTCATTATATTCACTTACACACAAATACCCTTGGGAAAGGTATAAATTCACCTCTTCTATCTTCAGCCTAAAGTTAATTAGAACTTGTAAGTAAATCCTTATTATCCCCCCAAAATTCTTACAATCTAAAAATAATTTCTGGCTTTAAATAACCTGTAAAAGCTGATAAACTGTAAATAAATCAATCACTCAATTCTGTATCATTTATTTCAAAACTATAGAAATCAAGTTTGGGAAGAATCATTAACATTCCAAGAAATATTGTTTGGGCAATTGGGGGCTGATGACTACATTCCATTGAGACACTGGTTCCCATATGATCACCAAAGTTAAGCAACATTGAGCCTGGTCAGTACCTAGATGGGTGACCACTTGAAAATACCAGATGCTGTAAGCTTATATGCACAGGTCGTGTAATGGATAATAGCTCATAACTGTTAATTTGAGAGCCAAGTTCAATTCCACTTGGGTTTGTTATATTCACTTACGTGCATATAACCTTGGGAAAGGTGTGAATCCACCTCTTCTTCCCCCAGCTATGGATTAATTAGTAAGCTTGTATCACTAAATCACTATTATCCCACTGCAAAAGAATCTTACAATCTAAAAATATTTTCTAACTTTAAATATTCTGCAAAAGGTTCATAAACCATAGCAAATGAATCAATTGGACACCTTTTTTATATACTTAATGTTACTAACTAAAATGTTTCAGGGGATTTTTTTTTTTTTTTACACCTCATCAGTGAAGATAATGCAATAGGAAAGGGAGTTATAATAACCTTTTTTTTTTCTCTCATATTTTTTCCTTTATCCCCTCCCCACCCCTGCATATACTGGAATATACACTGAAATACCAAAAGTCATAGGATGGCAGTGTTTTGTGCGTGAGTTTAAGACCCCATTCACACACTTGGGATTAAAATATATATACATGTATGTAATAGTATGTTGCGCCTCCATATTTTGACATCCTGGAAATGCCTAGACCTATATCAGTTGTGCTGACATCTGATGAGTCTGTGTAAACATTGAATAGACAGCACATGACAAGATGATATGAATTATCAAAGTTAGATTGGAGCATAACAGTGGCTGTCAGACAGATGGGACATTCCATCTCTGAAATTGTGAGTTATACTAGTTGGAAGACATTATCACCCACCCTAGACAACACAGTGCCTGACCACAGGTCCTTAATGATTGAGGCCATGTGTCTGGCTAGACTAGTTTGTAGTAACAGACAACACAAGTTCAAATCATATACATATTTCAATGTAGGAGATACAAAACATATATCTAGCAGATCAGCATTCTTTAGCTTCCATGGAATTGGAAACAAAAGATCCTCCAGAGTGACCTTGTTAACACCATTGCATCAGACACAGACACCTAGGCTCATGATGTCATTAATAGGACCATGGAGGACTAACAACATGTGGCATGGCTTGGTGAGTCATAGTTCTATTAGGATGAGTCATGAATAATTTCCGTTTCTTGTTTATCAACTTTACTCTTCAAAAAATAAAGTACAATTGCATTTTATTCAATTTTATATTCACTATTAAATGCAATGACTTGTCTCCATCTATCAGGCAAATGTTTGTTACCTTTTTGAGTAAAACTCCACAAATTTTGATGTGAATTTTGAATTTGGTCTTTGATTAGAGAAACTTTTCCCCATCAAAGTGTTTCAAAGCAATCGAAAAAGGTTGGTGCAATGTCAGGTGAATATAGCAGGTATGGTAGAACACGATTCCAAAATATTTTCCTGTGTAATTTTTACTGTATGCAGTTTTGCATTGTCATTCAGGATAACAACTTTGTCCTTCAATCTACTGTATGCTACCATTGCTATGCAAAAAACAAGGTAATTGCCACATAAGATTAGTAGTTAGGATTACAATTGGTTCCCAAAAACAGATATTGCTTATGGCTCAAACTAATAGTTGTTTTTGACTGAGGTTAGGATTAAGGTTCACCACAAAACCCATGTGGTTATGGATATTAATTGTCAACAATGCATTGCACAGGCTGGTGGTGGTAGTTAGAATGGGGTTTGTTCATGAGGCATGTGTTGGGTCTGTTGGTCTGCCTAAACACATCATCCACCAATAATTTATGTTGGACTGCTTTGTGGATATTTGCACCAGTGTTGGGATTCATCAGGTTTACATGAACCTGTTCTTGGATTTTTATGAGCTCAGTGAACCCATTACTAGCTGCAACCCAAACAAACAAACTGCTAATTTTAGATTGTCTACAAATTATAGTCACATAATCAGTTGGGGATGTAAATTCAGGTGATCAAATAAAGGTTAATACAAATTTTATGAACTGCTGAACTTGCTTGAGCCAGATACTTGGAATATTCAAGAAATAGTTTTTCCCTTTAAAGCATTGGATGAAAAACTGAATGGCTTCAGTAAAATTTTTCATCACAACATTCCCATTAATGATTTTCGTGACTATCTGGAAAAATGTCCTAAAAACTTTCATATTCCTGTAATTCCTCAAAGTGTACAAATAGCGAAAACTATTATCAATATGATTGCTATCATTTCTTCTGAGGCAGAAAGAGGTTTTTCAGGCATGAATATTACTCAGATAAAAGAAGCCACTTTTCAATGGAAAATGCAGCAAAATTGATAATTAATCTTATTGGTCTCCCTTTAGATTTATGGGATGCCATGCCTTTTGTTAAAACATGGCTTAGAAAAAACTCACAGTGCTGATGACAACAAAGAGGGGCAAAAAAAGCTGAAGACTATGATGACAATCAAGTGGCTATTTGGAAATTTTTAAAATGAAAGATCAGAAATAAAAAATTTTAACACATTTCTTTTAATTATTTTTCCTTTCAAAATAACCTGCAATGATTTTGGTATTTTTGAATAACTGCAAGAAAAATTTGCTTTAGTCCTAAATTATATCTATATAGTAAAGTTTGAACTATAGAAAAATGAGGGAACCCATTGCTATTGAGACCTGTTGTTGAGAGAATCCATTCTTAAAATTTTTGAATCCCACCACTAATTTGCACCCATTCATTGACATCATATTCCCCAACAATGAGGGATTATTCCAGCAGGATAATTTAGCATGTCATCAGGATTAAGTTGCCCCAAATTTGTTTGCAAATCATTCCAGAGGCTTCTGGTGAAATGGTATGCTCACCATGTTCATCCAATGAGCCCACGTGAGCAATTGTGGGACATGGTGGTGAGGTCTGTTCAACACACAAGATTCTGCACCTATAATTATCTGAATTGTGAACAGCTACCAAGATGGCATGGCTCAACATCTCTCCATAAGTTTTCTGACTACATGTGTAGTTGACACACTTCATCAATCCAAAGAGGGTCTTAACATGATCCAGGGAATGTATCTCATAACTTTTGGTGTACCTGGGCACACCTGATAAAAGGTTGAAGAATGTATCAGCTAAAAATATTCTCAAGAACTTTATATATATATATATATATATATATATATATATATATTATATATATAATTGGTATACGCCTCAAGCAAGGCAGTACAGCCACTAACATGCAGGGGGTTACAGGGTGTGAAGGAATTAGGAACAGAAACATTAGTAATGAGTAGAAAGAGCAGTCAGAATAGTAGATAACAATTGATATTGCATTTAAACTTTTGCAGATTGAAGTTGGTTGGAAAGCATAGTGCCAGAAGAGAATTCCACAAATGACAAGTGCTAGAAAAGAAACTGTCAGCATTGAAGTTATGGCTACATCTAGCTAGCTCAACTGTAAATTGATGAGATCTTGCTGCCAGTGTAGTATTGTGCTTAAATTCATATAGTCTAAGTACCATAGTGAAGAGCTCATCTGAAAAACTATATGAAAGTATTTATAAAAAGGCACAGTGAGGCAACCTTACAGCGATGAAGTGGCAGAAGTTGAGCTGCCAGATCAGGACCAATAATATTGCTGATTCTTCTTTGGATCTTATCAAGGAGCTCCAGGTAAATAGCAGGGGCACTGGACCATATATGGCAGCAATATTCTCTAAACATGGACAGATGATAGACTTATAGATTTGCAAGATGGATTCTGGAGAGAAAAATTGTCTCACCTGGCACAGTGAACTGACTTTCTTAGCGGCTGACCTAGCAATGGATTCAATATAGTCTTTCCACTTCATGTCAGCTGAGAACATTAGCCCAAGAAGGTGCAAGGAGTTACTTTCCTGGAAGATAGCATCAGCTATCCTGATGAAAGGCAGAGAGGGGTCTCTCAGATGATTAATGGACAGAAGTTTAGTTTTGGAGGCGTTAAAACCAGCTTTCGCCCCAGTTAATGACAGTTTTTAGGTTTGTTTTGGACATCAGCTGCCATTTTGACCATGTCAGAATGATTAGCCTTACTGTCAAGGCAGGAGTAAATGGTTGTGTTGTCAGTGTAGATGTCAAGTTGAGAGCTGGTGTCATCAGGAAGGTTGTTAATGAAAATTTAAAAACAGCATAGGACCAAGGATGGACGCCCTGTAGGACACCACCCATTAGTACAAAAGGATGTAGATGAGTGGCCATTCAGGACAACTTTCATTTCACAATTAGGAACGACTGGATCAGTTCAAAAATGTGTCCAGAGATACCATAACTTTTCAACTTATGAAGAAGACCTACTTGCCAGACCCTGTCAAAAGCCTTCGAGATGTCCAGTGATACAGACCAGACTTCACCGTTTTTATCTAGAGCATGATAGACTCTTTCTGTAATTATTGTTAGTACACAAGCAGTTGACCTGGAAAAACAAAAGCCATATTGCTTGTCTGAGAAAAGGTATACAAAGGAGTTTAATTGCCTCCAAAATATTTTGAATAGAAATCAAATGATTTTTCTTTTCTGCTTGTAGCATAATAATATTCTCAATTTCTAGATTAGAATTTCCTTTTCATAATTTTCAGTAAAAATGTACAAAAGAAGAAACCTTTCACCAATGTGAACAGTGCTGCCATCTGTCAGTGCAAATATGAAATTAACATTATATGAATCCATGCCATAGAATGTTAAATTTATTCCCAAAGTATAAATGAGGAATTTAAAAGCTCTGGAAAATATGTTAAAAAGAGAAATATAAAAACTGATCTGAAAGAGAATGACCAAGAATTTTTTTTAATATAACACTAATGTTTACTGTATTTTATTTATTGAATTAATTTTTCAAAATGTAGAAGAAAATTATCAAATATAATGTGATTATATATAACCAGTTATCATTTGTAATTTTGAATGTCTCTTTCCAATTCATTTAATCGCAGTTCATTGATTTTACTAGAATTTTTTTACTCCTTATTTTGTTATATGAATTAGTTAAGATTTCTTATAATGATAAACATTATTTTAATGAGTAAATTTGGTTTTGTGTTACTGAAACCACCTATTATTTTTAAATTAATATCAACCTGCCTAGATCAAGAAGTCTTACTGTGCTTCCTAACCTGTATTCATTTTTTTTCCAGTTTAATTCCTGTTGGAAAGTACTTTTTTCTTTAGTAGGACTTCTTGACCTAGACCAATTGACATTTATTTCACTATTTAAAAGTAATGGTAATGTTAACTAGGCAGATTTTTTTCCCAAAGTACGTTGCCATTTCTTTCTGCGCTAGGCCAATTGCCATTCAAGGCTATAGAATCTGATCTGGCCTACTATTTAGCCATAGCTTGGGAGAGAAGAAGAGGATTCATACCTTTCCTAAGGTTATTAGCACATAAGTGAATGTAATGGATTCGACTGGAATTCAAATACTGCTCTCCGATTCCTCAATCTGAGCCACTATCCATTACTCGACCATGTCTCCGTGGAATGTTAACTAAAACACATATATCCACTAAAAATAATGTATTAGTAATAGTAACAAGAAATTATATTGAATTAAAAATCTACAAACTTCTTAAATATTATTCAAGACCTAATTCTATAGAATGATATGGTGAAAGTATATCCATTTCAATTTACATCAAATAAAACACAATGATAAAGACCCAACCGTATTACTACATGCATCTGGAAAGGAATTATGAAATACTCTTGTGTCTCATACTTTGAATTGAGTTAGAAAATGATAAGACTAGTCTTAAAAAATCTTAACCAGAGAAAATGTTCACTTCAGCTGATACAAAAAGGTGTTTGTTACCAGATAGAATAGAAGTTTATAGGGTATATCAAACATGTTTAATCTGAACTAGGTTCTGGGCATTAGAAGAATGAAATGGTAATGGTAATATCAACTGTTTCCTTATAAGGAAACATTCAGCATTCAATGACCAAGCAGCCAGTGCTACTTTTATTTGAAATTTATAAAAATCTTTCTCTTAGAATAATTTTTCAAAAAAATAGTTTTCTCAACTCCAGTAAATGTTATCTCTCTTTCCAGTATTGATGGAAAATTGCTTCCTAACCTAATGTAATGTGGAATGTCAGCATCTTGATTATGTCATTATTTTCTATTTGAGTTACATGTGCTATCCATTTTAGTTGTTGCTGCTGTTGGTATTCCTCAAGTGATGGGGTTTCTCTTATTTGGTACAATTATTTATTTGTGATTCTCTAACACCAGTCCACAAGATTTGATGAAGAATGGTCCTCACTAAGATCTGGTCTCTTCATTCGCTCAAAACCATTCTTTTAACCATTGATCCATGTGAAAATCTCAATCTGATGAGGCTAATGAAAAGTTTTATTTAAAGCATGAATACTTTAGAAAATTGGTAGGCTCAACAAAATAAGAATTTGTATTCCTTGTGTAAGGGTTCGCAAGAAGTGATGAAATATTCTTGAATTAATTCTCCTGTTGATAGCATTAAAAACATGAAGAGGATTAATGATGTTCTGTTAAAACCTGGTTGCTTTCTTTCATCTCCCATCCTATTTATATGACTTTCTCCACTCCTTCACTCCAAAATGTCCTTGTGTCATCTCATACTCTGCATGTCTATTAATGGGAATATAAAATTTCACTAGGACAATTTATGCAACAAAACAATTTTGTTAACGAGTTAACTTTAAAGCAGTGTTTCCCAACCAGCACCCCCTTTTGGCACAAACGTTTTTGTCAATGCCCTCTCCCCATTGTCAAATTAAATTTCAAAAATTATACTGAATTCATCTTTCATAGCAGGATAACACTTAGGTATTAATGCAAAAATAATTTTAATAATATTTTCATTTCTGTTATAAATGCCAATGAGTAAAAATTAAAATGCTAAAAAGAAAATTATTTCATAGCTTATTTCAGTGTTTACTATGTGATGGTTGACTTTGGTGCTTACTAGCTAAGGCTCTTACTCTAGGTTCCATGATGCTTAGAAGTAATCGTAGATCTCCACATTTTGTAATTTGTAGGTATTTTCTTTGTTTAGTAAGAAGCTGTGTAACTGCATGAAAACCACATTAAGCCATAGAAGGGAAGTGTGCTGTCAATTCGGTTGAACTACAAAAAAATGTCTGCCACCAAGCCAGTGTTATAAGAATGAAACAGGAAGAAACTTGATGGTTCTAACCTAAAAGGGTTCCCTGCTAAATAAGGGTTTCTAAGGGAAACTAAAACAAAGGGTAATAAATTAGGTGTCAAAAATCAGACAATATATCAGAAACAACAATATTGAATAATTTTTGTAAAAATTTGAAAAAAAAAAAATGGATAAATGCCCACCATTCCCCTGAGTATGTTCACCAACCCCCACCCCCATGAAATAAAAACTTCCATTGACCCCTTTCAACATAACAGCCCACAAGGGGGTGCTAGTATCCACATTGGGAAACACTCCTTTAAAGGGAATACATTTTTAAATAAGGCACTCATTTCTAAGCAAGTGTACTCAAACTTAACTAAGTCTTAAGCAACTCTATTACTGACATCATTGTGGTTTAAGCAGCTTCAAAAAGAACGAAAACAGATAAATTAAAAAAAAAAGATTAGCTAAATACTTTATTTTGTTCTGTATTCAAGAATTCTACTAATTCTAATTTACCCACAATGGACATGTGGGTGAGCAGTTAGAACATTCACTTTCCGACCATGAAACCTGGTTTCAAATCTCACCATGATCAATTTGTCAGGATAGGGACTTCTTGATGTCATCAGCCTGAGGAGGCAATCCCAACATATGGCACCTTTGGAAAGTGCCTGAAAACCATATCACAAGTTGACCCAAGCCTTGTGAGAGAAATTAGGTAGATGGAACTGTTTGGAAGCCATCACTGATTGTGCTAATACAAAGTCACAAGAGTTTGATTGTGTTTGCTTTGTTCAGACTTTTGATCATACCAGATAATGTACTCTCAACCAGAAATGTCTGCTCAGCATAGTTGCAGTATAAACTACAGTTGGGCTTTGTGAATGTTGAATAAACACAAATGTATCTGAGATGTCTGCAACTAGCTGCCCTAGTAGACAGGAATTCCTGGATACTAGTGGCCAGCCATATAGTTACATTGAAATATCTTTTAATATCATTATAAGACCCAAGCATAAAACATTTTAGTAATAATTTAAGCAACTTCAGTACTAATTCTCATAAAGATTATGCAACCAAATTACTGGTCAAAGTCCTAAATTACTTATAAAAATAATTGTGTAAATATTTATTTGCCTGTTATTGAAATCTGCAAATACACTTATTTCTTTTTTGTTTTTAATCTCTACAAATTTAGAAATAAAAATGATTGTGTCTTTCTATTTTTTGATGTATAGATGAAAGAGTTATTACCAGGGTCCAGTATCTATATGTATGATGAACAACTCGATGGAGTGCGAAAAAGGGCCTATGACAAAAAGGGCAAGATTGACGGGCGTAGAATGGCTCGTCAGTTAATGAATATCTTCTTCAAGAAAAACGAACTCATCAATTGCTCAATTTCCTCTAGTCCTGCTGCTGGTAAAACACAACTGAACCCTGTTTTGGTAAACAGCATTATATGTAAGTATACCTTCATTTATTATAGAAAGAGTATTTTTCACTTATTATTTGACTGTAATGTTGATTAAAATCAAAAGGATTTTTTCATTGGCTGATTTTATCTTGTGATTAAAAAATGTATTTAATTAAACAAGAAACTGAATAAAAAATTCAAATGTAATTAAAAAAAATAAATAACTTTGAACTAATATTTTAATAATGCTGTTTTAAATTCTTTTGTCAATAACTTATATACAAAGTGTAGTATAGGACAACTTTCTTTCCTAAATTTAAAATTTTCAGAACTTTAAAATGTTAAAATATATATAGCATTTCAAATAATTTTCTTTTTCATTTCACCACAAGTAAGGCAATAAAGCCACTAAGATGCAAGGGGGTCTCTGAGTGTGAGAGAATATGAGAAAAAAAAACACTAAGGCAAGAGATCCATAAAAGAACAAGAAATCGAGAGATAATGATTGATATTGCATTTTTGATTTTTTGAAGATCAAAGTTGACTGGAAAGCAAGAAGCTAGAAGAGAGTTTCACAAATGAGAAGTATGT